ATATCGACTTGAGTTTCTCGTAATATACTGGGAATTTGGTTTTCCCGAAGGTATCAGAAACTTCGGAAACAGAGTTCTTGAGTAATATCTTCTTCAGCCAACTCTTCTTCGTTTCCATAAGTACTGATCTGTATGCAAATGAAAAAACGAGATGAAGTTCTTGCGGGTTAATAATTAAGTTATATCCTGAGTCCTGACCTTTTTTGACGAAGTTGATGGTAATTCTTCATCGTATGATCGCTTATGTCCAAATGATGTATCTGCTTCTTCTCCTTTTGCCATCTTAACTCGTTTCGACGAGCGTGAATTAACTTTATCAACATATTCTTCGCTTTTTTGATTACGAGTAGCCTCAAGCACATTTAATGCGTCAATTTGCGATTGTTTATCGAAAATATCCTAGAAAAAGGGTTTCAATGAGAACGCAACCAAAGTCATTGGCACTTTGAGGAGTCTTAATCAACGTTCATACGCACCTCTTTACCATTAGATCTTTTTCAGTCTTGACACCATTCCAAAAGTTTTCTTCTTCGGGTGGACGTTTCTAAAAACTCAGAAATAAAATGCGGTTAGTAAATATCAATAAAGATGGTATGTCCAATATGTTATTTCGCATGATCTTTCTGGAGGAACGATACCCCACAACCGTCACACTGAGGAACGATACTCCATGCCATAAAAAGGACGATACCCCTTACAGGTTGCGCAGATCTCACCCTTGATGGTTCAGAGATAAAGCGGAAGAGAAAATTGACAAACCTGTTGAATCAGAAAAGTTACACGCTCTTTGCTAATACCATCCTGTTCCTCGATAAGAACGTTACTTAAATATGTAAGATATCGTTTCCTCCATATAGATTTTTGCGAACGAACTTCAGAGACACAATTAGTTTTCAGTGCTTCTAAAAATCCCATATACGACCATTCTGAAACAGATCGGATCGGATTGACCGCAAAATGTGCCCTTAAATGATTGGTTATTAAATCGATCAGCGGTCAGTCAAACCGATCCACGAAAATAGGTGTTCGCCTCTGATCGATCCTGATAAACTAACGTGACGCGTGCCAGTAACCAACCATATTTATTGTTTACAACATGATTCGATCGAGCCGTACAAATTGTGCTCAATTGTAACAATGATCTGATTGGCTATTTATTTTTTCGGTCGATCCAGTCCGATCTAGAATTGAACAGGGCTATAGATTTACCAGGTCTAAACAAGGTTTGTGGGAAATAGCAAATTATTACGTTACGCGTAGAAATCTATACGTGATCTGATTTCAGACAATAGGCTTAATCACAAATTCTATTGGTTGGTGTAACTCGATCAGACGTGAATCATGCAACATTACGATTCGCAAATTCTGGCCAAACTTAATTTTAGCCGGCATTACAATTATAAATCTTAAATCAGGCCAAAATTTTCACATGCTTACTAACAAAATATTTCCGCTCCGGACTCACATCCTAGTTTTAGAATTTATAATAATGTCAATATTAATGTCTGAACAGCAGTGCAAGCTGGGACTCTTAGTCTAATAAGGACGCTCTTAATTTGACATTAGCGCAAGCTGGACTCTTAGTCTACAGCTTTTCTTGATTAAATTTTTCCGAAGTACATGCAAATGGTTAAAAGAATAAAAACGCATTTATTTATTGATGTATTGCGAAAACGTTTTTAATGAAGCGAAAGAAATATATGATACTATCAAAGAGGGAGGGAGTACGCTAAGCCATAAATGAGAGTCCCAGCATCATTTTAATTCACATCACTACCCCCACTACCATTACTACTGCTACTGCTACTACTATTATTATTTGCAAAGCTAACTCTCCTTTTCCCCTCCCTTTCGACCCATGGAATTATTTTATCCATTGATGTGGTTCTCAGGGTTTTCTGATGACGATAAAAGCTGGCTAATGTGGCGGGACTAAGTTTGATTTCTTGAGATAGTATATTATACATCTGTGTAGGAGAGCGTTTCTCTCTTTTTTCTTCTTTCATCAAATATGGCTGTGAACTCGACCCAGTACATTTGTATTTCATCTATATATTCAGAATATTGAGATACACGGCTTGTGGAAGGGTTGGAGCTGGCTAGGTGGTTAATGGATCGCAAAATGGATGAGTCCTGGAGAATCAAACACATAGGATCTTACCTTGCGAAACAGCCTCATTCCTCCATTCATTCTCAGTACGCATTCTCTG